CCAGGACAGCCACCATTCATAACGTGTTCAACTGACTGTGCAGGTTCAGTTGGAACAGCTGGTCTGAGGGCTCCCACTGATTCTGCGGTGGGTTCGTGCTGCCACCTAGTGGTCGACTTGTGATATTAGCCGTCTTCACTTGTGTCTCTTTATAGGGGATATGCGATTAAACTTGAAAAAGCTGGGGCAAGGAGATAGGTGAATATCAGAAACTCTCCAGATTGACAGGTATTTGGAGTTGTGCTCCAGATCAATGAGTTATTTAATATTGTAATTTTTTTCTTTTATTAAATGTGAGGTGGATTCCTATTATATTCAAGAAACTGGGCTGGATGCTGGGTATGAAATGATGAGTAAGCCTCACTCTTCTAGACAGTCTGAGCAGGAAGGACTGTACAATTCATCTACCCATCCATTTTGTTAAAATAAAAAATATCCCTAGAGAGAACTGGCGAGAATAAGTGACTTGTCTAAAGTCACTTGATGGATTGGGAGAGTCACACTAAGAATCCAGTTGTGGACACCTTCCATCGTGTGCTGCTCCCTCCTCACCTGGGAGAACACTTGTCCCTGTGATGCTGACACTAGCATTTTAAAGTTACTCCTCTCACATCCTTCCTGAAAGGAATACCTGGAGCAACTCTTTTGGATCTGGATTAGGGAAGGAAGCTTGTGGTGTTTCTGCCCATAGTCACTCCAGCCTAGCATCAGTCAGTCCTCCTGAGAAATGCACTCCAAGTACCCAGAAGTCGAGATGATACAAAATTCACAAGAGCCATCTTTGTTAGATATAATTTACTTAACAAGACTAGAAAAAGAGAAGCAATAACTTACCTTTTGTCCTTGTGCCAACAACAAGCTCAACCTCTTCCCTTTTAAATAAGCTACTCTCCACTTCGAATCTCAAAAAGGCCCTGGCTCAGGGTCGATCATTACTCATCCCTCCTGCCTTCTTGAAAGTTATTTCATTTTTCTAGATGAAGGACACTAAATGTTCATCACCAACACTTCTTATGTTGGTGCCGCTTGTTCAAAATCTAATATGGAAAAAAAAAGACTGAGTAAAGGTGAGTGGAATGCATATTTAATATATACTGCATTTAATTTTTGTTATGGAAAATGTCAAACATAGGTAGATACAGTGTCCAATGAACTTTAGTGTATCCATGGCCCAATGGTCAACATTGGCATCACTCATTTAGCAAGATTCTTCCATACTATATAATCTTTCTTGTTTTTCTTCCTTTTCTTCTGGAGAATTTAAACAAACCCCAGACATTTTACACTCATACACATTATTAGAATTCCTTAAAAATATGGAATACACACACACACACACACACACACACACATTTACATGCATATGTATTATACATAAAAGAATTGGCTTATTATGATTCTGAGGGCTGAGGAGTCCCAAGATCTGAAGGTGGCAAGCTGGAGACCCAGGAGAGCCAATATATAGTTCTTGTCTGAAAGCCACCAGGCTAGGCAAAAAGCAATGTCACAACTCAGGAAGTCAGAAAGTTTAAGCGTGAGTTTAAGCCACTGGGTCCAGGACTCAAACTGCGGTCGACTACATAGGAGTCCAGCAACATAGCCATAGGACCAACTGCTGGTTCCCCAGCCTGGTTTTTTTAAGTATTGGTTCAAGGAGGGACCCTTGGACAGAGGACTTGAACCACAGTAGTGTTTCTGAGGGGCATCCTCAATTGTTTTGCTGTTTGTATTTTATTATTACTCTTTTCTTAGGCTCAAGAGTATTGCTTTTCTAAACAATACATATTTCATGAAGACATTTTGAATTGAAGGGATAAAAGTAGTGAAAACAGTTATGAATGCTGAAGACAGTGTGGAATGGGGGGGAGAAGGGAAGAGTCTAGAGAAGGATAGCAAGAGAACAAATAGAGAGGCATGACATTAGTGGGACACAGAAATGGTTTATTACCTGTTGATGATAACATGTACAGTAGTATTCTCAACTAGACTGGTCTGAGAAGTATTTCAGGTTGGGTAAATTCTCTTTATAAGCCAAATGATATAAAGCGATTGACTATTTTAAAAAATAATGAGAATAAATAATAATCTGAAAAAAATGAAAAGCTATTTGATGATGAGGATGTGGATAGTGATGTTTTTGTCTTGACTCATATTCATGGGAATCATGCTGGAAAAAGAAATGTTATATACTGTAAAGATACATGTGATTAAATGTAATGTTTAAAAAGCTATGATAATAATAAAATTAAATTTAATTTAAAAAGACATTTTTGACAAGTTTTCTTACCTCTATTTCTTAAAACAAACAACAAAGGCTTTGCTATGTCCTTCTCTATGTACTGCTCTAAAAGGTATTAATTTTGACAGGGGCAGTGGGATCAGTGATCAATCCCAGGCTAAATTACACATAAACTCTGTTGTACAAAGAGATCGATCCAGTTTACACAAGACTTTATCTTGAAGAAGGGAATTAAATTTGCCATAAGAAGTTATACTTGATGTAAGTGATGATTACAACTTTACATTAGTTTTAGAACAAACAACAAAGATATAGATTCTCCTCCATCAAATTTTTTATAATAATAAAAATTATTTTTAAAAATTTACCAGAAGGCACATATGCTATGAAACATGAGAAAGCACCCCCATAGGGACTGGCCACTTGTGATCCCTTCTTCTCCATCTCTCCCTCCTCTTGGGATTTTTAAAAAGTATTTATTTCATTTCATTTATTATTATTACCATTAATTATTATTATTATTATTATTATTTTAATTTGACCAGAGAGAGAGACAGGTGAGAAAGCAAGCTGCCAAGTCTGGGACTCGAACCACCATCAGCCATGTGGGAGTCCAGTGCCTGCTGGCCCCCCTTTTGGAATTTTAAGCACACATGTACATGTGCCCAGCACAATTTTCAAGCTTCAGGTCTGGGACTCAAACCACATAGTCA